TGCTACATGTGCGGAACAGTCGGTAAAATGCATAAACTTATGTAGATAAGATTATTATTTAGTCAACTGAAGCATGCCTGAATAGTGCGGTTAGTCTTCTAAACACTGACACTACTCCATGTGGTACAAAATCTAGTCTGCCTTTTGCAAAGAGCCGTGTGTTTTACCCGTCTACCCTGCATGCTCGCCTAGACACCGCCAGGATATTTCGCCGCTTCTCCTGGCAGTGTCCCATGTTGCTTGGAATAACGCCGCTCACACATGCATATGAAGGTGAAAAAGGCAACCATTGGGCTGTACAAACAAGCGGCTAGCTCAAAACACATTACGATTTTTAGAACACTTACCACAAAACAATAGTCAGAAGAATAACAATCACCCCCAACACACGGCTTGAGGTACTGCGTGAGGCCGCAGCACCGAGAATCGAGATGATGAAAAGCGCAAACCAGAAAACCGTATCTATCACATTCAAAACAACATTGACTTTTGTGCTGCGCCATTTTTTAAGACGGTCAACATGGCCGGTACAAATCTGGTACGCCATGAAAACGGCTGATTTTACGCACTAGTAGGAATTATATCAGTTTAAGAATCGGCAATGCGGTCTCATCTCGTATTTTGGGCAGGCTTACCACTGCAATACCCCAAGTATTGGTTCGGGCACGTGGTGTTCCGCTGTCGGCCACTCGGGCAATGATCAGGATGAATGTTAATGCGACCAATGAGCCTATGGCGATATGAAGCCTGAACTTCTTTCTAGGGATGTCGTCTGTGGCGACGTTGAGTTTTCGCAACATAGTGGTTTCGATAAATTTGGAATTTGGTGAACGACTTGAAGGTCAGGTTCTGATCTGATTGTAGACACTTGCTGTGCTAGACACTCTCCTGTACAAATCGGAGTCCATTCGATCCTGAGGGAGGAGGAAATCATGCCGTTTATATTCTGAGAGTAACAAAATCTCTACCTGATATGAGGTTGGAGGCCCGGGGGCGACAAACTACCAGTCGCATTCGTACCGTTACCCCAATATAGACATCAATACTATAGCCGGAACGCATGTAGATCATGGGCAGATGGATGCTGGGCTATTTTCGATAATGCTAAATAAAACTAGAAACGTTGCTGCCTCTCTGCTACGTTTCGTAAACGTTCCATGAAGGGGTACGCCAATGGATCTTGATCACCAAAAATTTTCGTCAAGGGGTCAGGAACCAGCCGAGTGCGGCGCGATCAGCGGTCTTCTCACTAGTGTTTCGTTTCAATGGCTCAAAAACTATAAGGGGTGGCTGGACCCACCTACGAGATTGGGTTATTGATACGATTACGGTTGGGTTAACCTCGGTGATGAGGCCTTGCGAGTAGACAGCACCAGACCCAAGGACCCCCGCGCCACGTTTTCCATCAAAAATCCAAAGTAAGAAGTTGTTTTTGTTGGCATCACTGCTCAAGCTCCCAAAACTATTTCAGATGGAGTGGCTCATTACATCATCAAAATCCCGTCCCGTGAAACAGAAGCGATTTTCCTTACAGCACGGTGCCACTGGCGCTGATCGTCATCATTGTAGGCCCATTCCCCACAGACATGTTTCCCGATGTAAACGTATACGAACGCGTTAACTCGGCTGGAGTTCATAGTATATAAAGGAGCCGAAGCTCAGGTCCTGTCCAGAGGCAGAACAAGGCCTAATAGTAGCTCCTGAAGATGCATCTGTCATTGTACGCCTTTATTGCCTTTGGGTTGGGCAGCCAACTCACCACCGCTGCTTCTTCTGTGCCCAACTGCAAATGTGTAAGTGCCATAATTCTCTGGTGAGCGTCGTCTCAGGCGATTACTGATCCGCGATTTGCTAGAGCCCTTCTGATGCATGCTGGCCAACTGCCGGCGAATGGGCAGCCTTCAACAAAACCCTTTCCGGGCGGCTGCTAAAGACCGTCCCACCGGCTTCTGTCTGCTACAAGTCTGAAGACAACTTCAACGCCACGGAGTGCCAGGCCATTGTTGATGCATGGACCACCTCTCCTTTCCACTCCTCGAATCCGTATAGCATTCTGGATCCATCCTGGTCCGGTGCTGCTTGCCAGCCACTTTACCAGAACGGGACCAGTATATCAGGGGACCTTAATGCGACATCGAAAGGGTGTTCGCTAGGTAATCTCTCACCGTATGTGGTCAATGCAACGACGGCCGCACATGTGCAGACTGCAATCAGATTTGCTAGGAAAAATAATCTCCGCTTGAACGTTAAGAACACGGGCCATAATCCCGAAAAGAGGTTCGTTCAATATTGACTCCACCAGCATAAAACCCCTGCACTAACACAGTTACTAGTTCGGCATATGGTAGTTTAGGGTATGTGATCGCCTACAAGATTGGACCCCAGCCTAGGCCAATACGCTGACATGCACAGTATCTGGACACACAACATGAAAGGATTCCAGTTTCACAAATCGTTCAAAGCCTGTGATACTTGTGAACCCCATATGGCTGGTACTGTCGGGGCGGGAATTCAGGACGGCGAGCTGTTTGCGGCGATGGCAAAGCATGGCGCTATTGCTGTTGGAGGAACAAACTCGGTATGAAATTTCGGCTTCAACTTAGTCCCTTCCTTCTACAGTTTTCCTTTTCCAAGTCTAACAAACCCTCAGGATGTTGGAGTTGTTGGCTGGTCTGCTGGAGGTGGTCATGGATATGCCACCGGTCAGTATGGGATGGGGGCGGATAGCATTCTCGAGGCAGAACTTGTCACGCCTGAAGGAAAGCTCATTCGAGTGAATGAGCGGGATTATTCCGATCTATTTTGGGCGATTCGTGGAGGGGGTGGAAGCACCTTTGGAGTGATCATCAGCGTTACTGTCAAGGCCCATCCGATGCCCTCAGTGGGAATTGTCAACATCGATGTTTCGCCGCGAAACCACACATCTCCAAAGCAGTGGTGGAATACCGTCGCAAAAGTACACAGGGAGATGGCGGATTTGCAGGATGCCGGGTACGCTGGATATTACACCATTACTGGACCGCCGATTAGTTTTCATAACACGATCTTCGTTTACAACGTGAGCAACGCAGCAGAAGCAAGAAAGGTGATTCGGCCCTTGGAAAGCGCCCTGAAAAGCGCCAATTCATCTGTAATTACAGAGATCTCTCAGCTTTGGACGGAGACCTGGTACGAGCTGATTGAGAAATTGGGACCATTGGCGGATGCTAGCGGAGTGGGCACGAAGCGGAGCGTTCGAGCTTCAAGGCTTGTAACCCGGAGAGCTATTGAAGATACAGATCTGTTTGCCCGAACATTGGAAGAGATTGGACCTCGTTTCGTGGCGCCAGAGGTACGACTCCTACCCTAGTATGGAGTATGAGACGGGTTACTGACAAAAACACTCATAGAATGGGGTGTCTAACCCTTCACTGTCCGGAACCATGACAATTGGCAAGACACCAACGGATAATGCACTGAACCCAGCCTGGCGAAAAACAGTCGTTCATCTCATTTCAGAGCAGGAGTGGAACGACACGTTGCCTGATGAAGTTGCTGAAGAGGTGATAAACGAAATGACCTACGGCAAGGGATATGCTCTCCGCCAGCTCGCACCAGACAGCGGATCATATATTAACGAGGTAATTTCCGTTTTTCTACTTGTCTCGAAACAATGAATCTAATTCTATATGTTAGGCAAACCCTTACGAGCCTGATTGGCAATGGTCTTTCTGGGGCCCCAACTACCCGCGTCTTAAGGCAATCAAGCAGAAATACGATCCGGACAATATTCTGTGGTGCCGAACCTGTGTTGGCAGTGCACTGCTAATTCAACACCAGAACGGGTCCTTGTGCAGGGCTTTGTAATCACATTTCTTCCGTGTCTCTGGGAGAAATGTTTAATGTCAATCAGCATTAGGTAACTTATTCTTACTGCTTGTATTTTAGAACACGCACTGTACTATTTATTGGGCATGCAATTGTGTACCTCTCTGGCCAGGATATCTGTCTACATTTGGATGCAAGTGGCAGGCGAAAAGCTGTTGATCAACGCCATGAGGTGGATTTGTTACACCCCTGACCCACTACTTCATGGTTATTTGAGGCACTTACTGCACGTGAACCTAGGTACCCCAGTGGCTGGGTCACGGGAAGGCAAATTGGCGCTCGGCGAGCTAAAACAGTCGGTTCAAGGGTGGTCGCAGATCTTTTGGAAGTGATACGAAGCATAGATGAGGTTCCAATCTTCTGCTTGGAGATTATATGTATGACTACGTACGTATACATATTTTAGGAAAACGTAACAAGCAATTCTCAGTTAACGTCATTCATTGTATAGCTAACTTGGCTGATACACATCAACTAGGCATATTGTTCAACTGCATGCATGTTACTAAGTACTTCAAGAATTCCATTGCTTCGGCAACAACCTTCCGTGGACCTTGTGGGCCATTATGCCGCTTAGTCAGCGGAAGCTTTCACAGCTCCGAGGATCCAGCATGGATATGTTTTTGGGTGTTGTATTCCACAAATTTCGCCTATTTCTTTTGACGGACCATCACACAGCTTCATAATAACGAATCGGAAAGTAGAACTTCAGGCTTGCTGGCTTTCTAGCTCTCTATCGGTCTACGGTCTTAATTCCGATGTAAACAGCGGGTTCCCGCCTGAGAGCTTATAAAGTGGGGATATATGACGCATTCGACAACTGAGCAGCCACTTGCAACGCTCCAAGATTCCCGAAGACCACCATCCACCAGCGACTCCGACGACGTCATGCGAGGAATTTGGACACTTACTATCGTGCTAGTTCATGGCTGTACCGTTGAGAACCCTCTTAGGGGGCGAGGGGGGGGGTTCCGACCTCATCTATGTAGCATAGCACCCTCGTAAAAGGAAGGCGCCAGCCACTCCTCTTCGTATCGTGATATAAGTCTCAACTTACATCCTCAGCATTAAATTGCAGCTCAGTTGCTTGTAAAACGAAGCCAGCTTATTGTTTGCTTTTGTACCACATCGTCATGGCTACCGACTCGCTCAATGAGAACCGACTCTTTATCAATGGCGAATTCGTCCCTTCGTTATCCGGCAAAACGTTTGATATAATCAACCCCACTACTGAGGAGGTCATAGCCGCCGTTTATGAAGCCGATGTTGGAGATGTCGACCGTGCTGTGGAAGCGGCCAAAGCCGCCTTTCCAGCATGGTCAGCTCTCTCAGCTCAGGCAAGATGCGATTTTCTGTCTAAACTGGCGGATGAGATTGAAAAAAGGAGGAGCTATTCATTCATGTAGAGGCTGTTACCATGGGAATGCCACCGTCCGGAATGAAATGTTAGTCGTCTCGTACGTTCCACTTGCAGACTTCTGTATCAAGTTCCATGAGTACTGCACTTTACTGGCGAAACAACAGTTGTTTTAGCCACTTCAAAGCAATATCTCAAATACTTTGCCAGCCATGCGATGGATATTACTGGAGAGACATCTCTTAATACTCCTGGCTACCTCAATCTGTCCGTCCGTCAGCCGTACGGCGTGTGCGGAGGCATCATCCCTTGGAACGCTCCTTTGCTTATGCTTGTCACCAAAATTGGCCCAGCCTTGGCAGCCGGAAATACCATGGTGCTCAAGTCGTCGGAGAAATCGCCTTTCGCATCAATAGTCTTCGCTTCCTTGTGCCAGACAGTCGGTCTTCCTAAAGGTGTCCTCAACATCTTGAGTGGATTCGGTCAACCTTGCGGTGAGGCTATAGCCAAGCACATGGTTATTAGAAGGGTTTAATTTACTGGGTCCGTCGCCACTGGTAGGGCCATTCAGAAAGCTTCCAGTGAGTCGAATTTGAAGGACGTCAGCTTGGAGCTTGGCGGGAAAAGTCCTTTGCTTGTGTTCGACGACGCTCCTCTCGAGAAGGCAGTTATGTCCGCTACCTTCTCCATTCTGTACAATTCAGGCCAGGTCTGCATGGCTAGTACTAGGACCTACGTACAGGAAGGCATTGCCCCCCGGTTCATTGAAGCTCTTAAACAAGCAATGGCCGAAATGGGCGTGCCGGGCGATCCTACGCTTGCCGATACCAAGCGAGGGCCCCAAGTCGACAAGCTGCAGTTCAGTCGGGTATTGTCCTCTCTCGACCACGCAAAAGAGCAGGGCTTCGAGATCACCCTTGGCGGAAACAAGGCTCGTGACAAGGGCTACTTTGCGGATGCGACTATTGTTCAGAATGTACCGGAAGACGATAAGTTGGTCAGGGGGGAAATCTTTGGTCCTTTGCTTGTGGTCAACACCTTTACAGGCGAGGAGGAAGTCTTGAAGAGGGCAAATGACACCGAGTTTGGTTTGTACTCGAGTGTTTTTACAAGCGATATTTCACGAGCTCTGAGAGTTGCCAAGGCGCTGGAAGCTGGTGCAGTTGGCGTTAATTGTACAAGTCCTTTCATGGTTGTTGATCTGCCGATGGGTGGATGGAAGCAAAGTGGTGCGGGTGGAAGGGAGTTTAGCAAGGCTTGCTTGGACACCTGGACTCAGCTGAAGAGCGTATTTATTTCTTTGTAGGCAATATTTTCCGAAAAGAGTTGGATTATCCCATTATTCTCGGCTCCTCTTCTGCTCTCCAAGTTTCATGATTTTCAATGGATGTCCACTATTCCATAAACCACGCCACTAATATATATATACCTCGGGCTGTGAAAATGATCCACGTACTTACAGTGGTTGAAGTAGCAAACAAGAATATATCGGAGATGGAAAAGGATCCAATACCAGCAATCCATGTTTGTTCACGTAGACGTTTTCCATGTAAACCACCTCTCTTACCAACAATATCGCCGTAGAAGGCAAGAAAGCTCGGTCTTTTTGCAGCTTCCCCCATCCCCCGATGACCGAAACTTGCACTCGGCCCCGTGGTGTACCTTGGACCCTAATGATGGACAAGAGCCGTTAACAGCGCACCGGAGTGAATCCGAACGAGCAATCCCGTCGGTGCTCCACGCAAAACCATGGCTTGTGAACCATTTCTGGTCCTGCCGCTTCTTATCATGCAGCATACAGCGTCTTCTACCTCTAATAAGCACTTATCTCATACTTGTTTGGGAAGGATGGCTTAAGCGCACGTCTGCTACGACCACACATGGATTAGAGCACCCCGTGCGGATATCACCCATTTCTGAACGACGATCGTGGAGAGATATTTTTACTTTACTGGGTCTTGTTTCAGATGGCTTATGTTGACACCAATGCCGCTTCAACGGTGTTCTATCAGCAGCGGAATTGTCAGTACCTGCACTGGGAGCTTTCGGACTCAAATAGTCACCACTGCAGTCCACCAGAGATATTCCGGCCATGCTCCTCCCCACCAAAGTACGGAACCGGCGGGGGTAAGGCTCACACATTGTCCACATGCAGATCAACAAAGGAGTTTGTCATTATTAGCACTGCAACGGTTGGGGTAATTCAACGATATAGCCCTCAATGATGTACTGGCACGAGCTGGGATCTAATATTTCTCACGTGGATGGTATCCAGCAAGGACGAGACACGATTTTGTTCGTACCAGCTACAGGCTGCAGAGTAGTTTGGGTGTCTGCAACTACCTGCCTAGGTAACACCTAACCCCATTAACTTATATACCCCAAACCCCCACAGCCCCCGCACCCCCGCACTTCCACACTTCACACTTCCATACTTCACACTTCCACACTTCCGCACCCCGCATTCAAAGATCAAGCTGTACTTAATAGCACATTTGTCCGCTTCTTCCAATGTATACTTCCTCTATTGTGGCATTCCTAAAGCCCCATCGTACTTAGCACTTACCAGCCTTAGCCACGCGACCCAGTCCCAATAATGGCCTTGGTCGAGGATTCTTTTGCTCTGATTCACGAAAAACAAATTATGCTACCCTTATTGGTACTCAGTATCACTGCCTATGCCACTCTCTGGCTCGTACGAGAGGTCTGGGATCCCTTGAGAAGCGTCCCGGGCCCTACTACGGCACGCTACACAGCCCTGTGGTATTTCCACAAGGTATTTAGAGGAGATTTCCATCATGAAAATATCAAGTTGCATGAAGAACATGGTTCGTTTCCGCCCCAAGCAGAGTAAGGCAGTGAATATTATCACTGATTGTTCACTAACTTGCTCTCCCATTGCCCTTAGGGAAAATTGTCCGTGTCGCGCCAAACATGTACAGCATTAACGATCTTGAATCCGCCAAGCTAATCTACGGCCACGGAACCAAGTTCCTGAAAGCAGACTGGTACTCTGCCTGGACAGCCCCTGCGGTATGGACTGTGAACCTATTCGCGATGCAAGATGTGAAGGCGCATGGGGTTGCTCGGCGCCAGCTGGCTAACTATTACTCGATGTCGTCGATGGTTCACTATGAGAGCTATGTGGATGAATGCGTCCGGATCTTCTGCGGGAAGCTGGAGGGGTTCTCGAAAAGTAAGCAGTCCATAAATATGGGTACTTGGTTGCAATACTACGCTTTTGATGTTATTACCAATATCACGGTGAGTAAAGAAGAAAGAGACGAAAATAAATCTGGCTAGCGCTAGCTAACAGCAAGTTGGTTATTTACGTGTAGTTCGGCAAATCATTCGGTTATCTTGAAAAGGCAAAAGATATCGATAACATGATTGCGAAACTCGATCAAAGCAATCTATATAGCGCCCTAGCCGGTCTTTTTCCCTCAGTCCACGCCATCGTCGTTCGTCTCGCAGGGTCCCCGGCGCAGGAAATGATTGACTATATACAAGAGTTGATCACCGTGCGTAAGACAAAGACAACGATCACTCAAGGTGGCGACTCGGAGCCTCCTCACAGCGAAAAACGTACAGAAGACTTTCTTGGGAAGTTCTTAGCAGCCCACAACCGGGACCCTTCTTCCTTCACCTCCACGCACCTTCTTTTTGGATGTGTGCAGAACATTTTTGCGGGGAGCGATACAACAGCCATCGCGCTGTCGTCGATAATCTTTTATCTAACGCAGAATCCGCGCTGCCTGGCAGAACTGCGTGAGGAGATCATCAGTGCTGCAAGGGAGGGGAGCATCTCAGACCCCGTGACTTTCGTGCAGAGTCAAAACCTCCGCTATCTGCAGGCTGTGATCAAAGAGGCTCTGCGCATGAACCCGGCAGTGGGGTTGCCTCTTGTTCGCGTTGTGCCTGCAGGGGGTGTCATGCTGTGTGGGAAGTACTTTCCAGAAGGTGTGAGTACTACCGTAGCCCTGGAATTGTGACATAGGTAGGATATTACGACTTGTCGCTAATGAATTATCTATCAGACGGTAGTAGGAATCAATCCATGGGTGGCACACTATAATTATTCGATCTTCGGCAATGACGCGAATATATTTCGACCAGAGCGCTGGTTGAGCGAAGACTCACACGCCATGGAACGATATTTCATGCCGTTCGGCCAGGGATCTAGAACTTGTATTGGGAAGAATATCAGCTTGCTTGAAATTGGCAAGCTGATCCCACAGCTAGTAAGGAATTTTGACTTTGAGCTTGCGGGTCGGCAGGATAGGCTGGTTGGGCAAAATCATTGGTTTGTTAAACCGCAGGGGTTCGACGTAATACCTCTTAAACTCTGAATACGCGTCATTGGTTGGATGGCTATTTTGTTTGAATATCGCGTGAAGCAAAGCAGCATTTCGTCCTAGGTAGATGTATATACAAGTGTGAGGAACTATCGGGACCTGTTTCGCCGCCACGTTCTACCAGAAATGAGAACAGTTTGGGATAGCCCCAGTCAGACAGCGTCGGCATGACAAATGATGGGTATGGATACGAAGAAATGACTAAACAACCTGTCAGCGGGAGTTGGGGCTCTTCAAGTCAATAAGTGGCTCCGAATCAACAGAGCCAGTGCAAAATTTGATGTTGGTGGTCGGTGAGGGGGTGGGGGTGGGGGTGGCGCTTCGTGCAGACCACACTGCAGTGTCAGTAAACCCCGCCACCCCGCCAACCCGGCCCAATATGGAGCCGAGTAACAATGTTGAGATGAGGAAGTGGTACACAGTATAACTACCGACAGGCAATTCCCCTAAAGCTGAGGTAATCTCCCTTTAACTGGAGATTAATGTAGTAATAAGTTAAGAAGACATCTATTACCTCGGCTCCGCCACTTAAAACGTCCACTACAAGTCAGTAAGGGCATTATGCAGTATCCCACTGGCTCTGCCCCAACTTTTACCCTACGCCTTGCCATATACTCATCCCTCTTCCTCATCTCCCAACGTTCTGGATTTGTCTCACAATGTCCGAAAATCGGCTGAAATATCAGACATCCGCCGCGGATGTTGATGGATACACTCGTGCTAAGCACCTTTAAATTCCCATCTGCGATGGGATCGAGCTCTGCGCTGACTTATTCCTACCTTTCTCTGCAACCAAGGCGGGGAAGAACGTGCCAGTAATCTGCAGCATGGGACCCTATGGGAAGGATATTCGTGCCTCTAATTTTGGACTGCCGCGTACGCCTATCTACGCTGAGATGGCTGTTCAGAGAGTAGAAATTCAAAGAACAGTGACGGTGTCTCGAAGCCTCGTTCCGGCCGGCCAAGCAAGCTTAATGAGGCTGATAAAGTACGTCTCGTTGATGCTATTCGAGAGAACCCCCGGATTACGCATGAAGACCTTCTTACTGAGGTGTCTCACAAAGTCAAAATGAACTCAATTCGACGCCTTTTAAATGCTGAAAACCTTCGGAAATGGCGATGCAGCTGGCGACCTTATTTGACCGAGGAGCATGCCGTTAAACGGCTTCAATGGGCTTGTCGTTATCAACACTTTACGCCCGAAGATTGGGCTCGCGTCTTTTGGTCCGATGAATGTACGGTGGAGCGCGGAATCGGAGTCCGTCGAGAATGGACTTTTACTCGGCCAAAAGACCAGCCAAAACTCGGACAAGTTCAAGGCCTTCCACAACGGGGAAAGCAGGTTAAGCAGATGTTTTGGGCTGCTTTCTCGGGCGCTACCCGTCGAACTGGCTTAATTCCGCTATTCGGAGATCCGGAATCAGAGCGTGGCGGTGTAAACAGCATCGTTATTCGAGATCTATACCTCCGAATCCTACCTCTTAATATCGAATAAAGGGTCGATTTTTCAGCATGATAATGCGCCAACGCATACTGCCCACGTCGTCCGGGACGCTTTACGGGACTTAGGGATTGAGGTTATGGACTGGCCGCCGCATTCGCCTGATTTGAACCCAATTGAGAACCTCTGGGCGTTGATGAAAGCCGAGATCTATAAGCTTCGGCCTGATCTTATTGATATGAAGAATAATGAGCATACTAAGGCTATTTTAGTAGCTAGTAGCTACAGCACAGATTGCATGGGACCAGCTAGACCTAGACCACCTAAAGCATCTCTCTGAAACGATGCCGCATCGGGTGCAAGCCATTATTGATAGCCAGGGATGGTATACAAAGTATTAGTTAAATGGCATGAGGGTTTAAAGGGAACTGATAGGGACACCTCAACTTTTACTGCGGACACCTCATCTGCTTATATAATCGTTGTCTCGTGCAAATGCCACATTCCACGGCCACAGCCTCAAGGTTGACTATGTATAAAATCAAGCGTCCCTTGCTACAGTACATGTTCGCAAAGTATGACCAATTTTCCCACAGTTAGAGCATTTTACTGCCCTCTTCTGATTCTTCTCCCCATTGTCTTTCTTATCACTTGTCTCATCCACACCCACCTCAAACGAACATCGATCACGCTTCTCTATCCTCCCTGGATCTGCGAATGGAGATTGTCTTTTCTGAGACTTGAATAGTGGATTTGGCAGTCGAGGTTCCAAAAGGGGTAGACCTGTAGAGCCGTGCCTAGCTTTCGTATACCAGAATGAATGGAACTCCTAAGTTCAATCGGAATACTGCATTGAAGAAGAACGGTCAATCGATGAGCACAAGGCAAGCCCATTGTGACAGTCCAGACATTGCTGCATGCTGGTAGAGGTGAACGCTCTGTGGCGTACCTAGCTTTCTGGGACTGTTGCTCAATAAGCTTAATAGCATGTCGAGTAATTTGTGTGGTGACCTTTGAAGAGATCGGGCGTGATGTGACAAGAGGATTCTCTAAACGGTCACGCGCAACGTCCAACTTGAGAATGTCAATTTGAGTTTGGATGGCTCGCTTCACTTGTTCAAAGACAATCAACATGCTGCCAGATGAGGATCCGATATGCTTTTTGATAAAGGCATGTGAGCCTTCAACACGTGAAGTTGCAGCGTTTCCAAGATGCAGATGTTGCCGAGTCCAGGCGACGACAAATTTCTGTTTATGAATAAGCCACACCCCCTTCACATAGTGAATAACAGACTGATTTTTCGCGCACTTAGACTCAAGGTCAGCAAGTCGTTTATTATATTCATCTTCTGTCGGGGAGTGGACAAGCTTCATCCAAAGACCGTAGAATTCATCAAACCCTTCCGAAGTGGCAAATTGACCTTTAGCTCTTGCAGTCACGTTCTTATTGATATGCCAAATGCAAAGTAGGTGCGGATTCAAAGGGCAGACTTTCTCGATAGCATTTACTAACGCGAGATCTCGATCAGTATAAAGAACTGGAAGATGTTCAGAGCGCTGGAGAAACGAGAAGAAAGTTTGTAAAGCCCACACATAGCTCTCAGTGGTCTCGTTGTGCATAAAGCACAATGCAACGCTGAAGGTAGCATTCGATGGTGATACTCCAACAATGTGAAGAAGAGGCATTTGATATCGATTTGTCTTATACGTACAATCTAAGACGAAGACCCTGTTGTATCTGTTGGCGAACTCAATCGACTCTCTATGCGCAAATATTAGAAACATTGCATGGCCTTCAGAGTCTTGCTTGAACCCGAATCTCCATTCCTCTTGAACCAACAGGTCATGAAGATATTCAAGAGGTGATTTCCCGCCTAGCTTTTCCCGGCGGATCGTCTGCCGCTTGTTGTAGATGTCGCGAGATATCAATGGAATTGAAGGTTCTTTCTCACGAAGAAGAGTCAAAATGTCTCTCGGTTGTGTTCCGATCTCCACCATTTGGCTGAGGTCTTGTAATTGGTCACTTGTAAGCTGGCGGGCTTGTGGATGACCCATAAGATCGTCAGCCTCATGGTTGTGAGTGGGACATCGAATTTGTAACTCCCATCTGTTATTTGGGAGCCTCTTTCCGTAGAGCTTGAACGGACAATTAATTCTCCTTGTGGTGGTAAATCGCTGCTTTGCTCCGTCTGGAGCTGTCAATCGATCCCTGTGTTGTCCCCCTCGATCACAGCCTAGAATGACTTGTCTGTTGGCTGTTGAGCGATGTATAGTGATAATATAGCCATGCCGGATAGCATGTTGACGAACAGAGATGAGCAACTCCTCGCGGCTGTTGAAGATGTCTTCTTTAGGGGGTTCCATGGTCTCCTAGGTTTCTACTGGGAAATTGAAATAAACCGGGAAATTTGTTTTGACCAAGGGAGATGGAATGTGTGGCATTTGCACGAGACAACGATTATATAAGCAGATGAGGTGTCCGCAGTAAAAGTTGAGGTGTCCCTATCAGTTCCCGCTGATGGGTTCTTGGCGGGCTAGCGGGTACCCATGGGGTACCCGAAAAAGCAATATGGCGAGGTCTAGCTGCGATTTTCCAGTATGGGGATGAAAATGGAGCCGGTCAAGACTAGTAGGCCATCGTGAATCTGTGTAGCCGTAGAACTCCCCAATGATTGATTTTCACATACCTGTCAACCTCATTAATCGACTCAACTTGAGTAATTCGAGGTCCAAGTGGGCATCTAGCCAATTGCCCATTTTCTACTATACTATGATCCATCCTGCTACTTTAGCCGAATTAAAAAGAAATCTTGTTTATTTTTATTTTTAGTCTTTTAATTTATTTTCATTTTTTAACCTACGTCGAAACAATGGTACGATGTGCATTGCTATATTAGATGGTGAAATGGGGATGGCTCAATGGCAGTCTGGCATAGCAGACAGGTCGATATCATGGATGAAGGATCAAGCAACCAACACTCCCTAGACAGCACTAGTAGACAGCGGAGCGTATACCCTGAGACTTCTTCATAATAAAAGGGCTGGAAACGAAAAGAGTGAATTGTACGATGCTAGCCCAGTCCTCTGCTGGAATCCCAACATGGAGGAATGCTATCTGACTGGCCACGTGACTAATAGTCCGCCCATCTTTCTACTATGTCACCGGTTCCACCACTACAATGGGTATTTAATTATTAAACTCATTTTTTGCGAGCTGTGAGTTCCGCTATGACCACTTGCCTCCCAAATGGAGACTTGTTCTAAGTAGATATGGTGAGTTGAGTACAGTAGACATAAGTTATATTCTCGCTGTTTGTAGTTTCTCAACCATCTCTTCCAGAGTTTGCTCTCAGCGTGATTTCCTGGTTGCCGTCCGTTCTTTTACTCTTTTACGTACCCCATCCACCACGATGCCGACAGGTGACTATGTTCCTTGGACTGAGACTGAGGAAGAAAACCTCGAACCATGGTTATTTGTGTTGTAGTTCAAAGGAAGATTGAATTGTACTGAACTAGAGGGAATAACTGAGGCTATATATACACAAAGAGTAGA